GTGCTAATTCACAGATGGCTCTTGATCAATATTCCTTAAATAGACAAATGGAGAGTGGACATATGAAGGCAAGGTGATATGCTTGGCATTGTGGGCAGAGTCCTAACATTAACGCTTCTAATGTGGGATGATCAGAGATGATTCCACCTTCGACTTTCCTAACTAGACCGTACTGTGGCAGTGAAGATGTTATAGGAGGGAAGGTCATTCATTCCACATAGGATAACTTGGGCGAGGAGAGTCAGTTTGCTTGGTTGAAGTTTGGGATTTGTGCGCTGAGTTGAGGCAAAGAAATGATAGGTCGGGGAGATCATGGCAGGTGCTGACCACCATCTGTTTAGACTTTTCTGCGCAGCATCCAAGAAACGTGGCTCTTTTAGTGTAGCGGATACAGAATTGCCTTCATCTTCCTGCGGCCTCAGCAAGAGTTTCCGCTGCTAGCCCAGCACATTCGTTGACTCTTCTTCTCTGCACTCACTGCAGCGTTCCGCTCATCACCTCCTCCCCCTCTATTGTCAAACGCCTCCTTTCTCCTGCCATAGAACACACGTCACTTCGTGCTCTGACGACCTACAGCTGGATTTCTCTGCTCCTGGTTCTTCTTTGTATCTCTCCCGCCTTCCTCCATATTTTTGTTATTTCACTCCTAACGCCCATAACAAAAAATCTGAACCCGTATCTCTGAAGTGACTTCACTCTGCTGCTATTCACCATTCACCACAATTTTTTTTTTCTGAGTACCTACTATGTGCTGTGTACTGTTCCAAGATGGAGGTGCAGTGGTAAGACGAAAACGCTCTCGGACCCCACCAACACTGCACTCAGCTAAGCACTCAGAAAACCAGTAGGCAGGTGTGCACTCAGAGGGATCACCGTGCACACGAGCACCACCGGATGTGTGTGAGACTCCATGTCTTGCCCTTCCTTAGTCTCAGCACCAGACAGTCATTTCCTTTTTCCTCAGCCCAGTTAACTGGCGTGACCTCTGGATTGGGGGCAGAAGCAACGTCATTTTCCCAGGCCCCCCCCCCCCCCGGTTTGTGACTGTCAGTGCATTGTCGGCCCAGTCTCTGATAGCCAGTTTGCTGCCAAGTCCTGTGGGTGGGTGATTCCCTCTGACTGTCCTGCAGCCACGCAGAAGGTCTGTCCCTGAGCCTGGCTTCACATCATCGTGTAACATAGAACGTCTGCCCCTGGGTATGTCGGGAACAGGAGCATGCCTCTCAACCGTAGCAGCACACACACACACACATCCCCCAAGGCCTTAAACTCCCCAACACTTGCAGCGCTGGCCTCCTGTGCAGCCCCTCCCCTGCTCCCCTGGCTGTCTGCAGACCTCTCCTCTCTGGTGTGTCTGCCGTCATCTTCGCTCATTTTATTGACTCGTGTCTTTTGTCTACCGATCTATGTACTGCCTCGCTATACCTTCAAGTTAGTTTCCCGTCCCGATAGACAAGTCTGTGACCTTGGGAAGAATCCCGTTAAGGTGCATCCTCTTCGCTGTTGGACCGATTCCTGGCATTCCTCCCTCAGCACTCTGAGACAGTATCTTCCTCCTCCTCTGTTCACTACTGTTTCTCAGCCGCTGAATCACCAGGTCTGCGAAGCTAGGGTTCATGGTTGGTACCTAGTGTTGTCTCCAGCACACAGAGGTGAGGAAGACAGCCACAGGAAGTGCTCAGAAAGAATGGCGTGCTTTGTATGTGTATCTTCTACTTGTCTGTATTTATGAACCGGTGTGTTTTCAGATATGTCTTCCACCTGCCTGAGAGGCATTTGCTGTGTGGTTTAGGACAAGGGTCATTCTGATCTCCCCCGGTCATCAGGTCTCTGACATGACACAATGGTGACTGTGGCTGGCACAGGTGAAGGGTGGGCTACCAGAGCTGAGGGACTTTTCTTTCTCATCTGCTTTGAGACCTCTTTTCTCTTAATATGAAAGACCAACCTTGCTGCCGAACACAAAAGGGCGCCATGTGTGTGTACATATGTGTATTTTTGTGCTTATATGTCCATATACACATATATGTGTCTATATATACATGTATACATATATGTATATATGAAGGAAATACACCAAAATATAAATTATGGTTATTTCTGGTAGGTGGCTTTTTATATTTCTCTACAATAAGACCTAGTACTTTCATTGACAACAACAAAATCCCTACTAGACATTACTTTTTTAAAGGGTAGGAAGAGCTAAGGTTATTAGCTGGATGCTGGAGTCTGTCCTCTACAGGCCCCCAGATGCCTGGTGGGAAACAGTTCTTGGCCTCTCATTGGTGTCTCAAGGTTTGAAAAAAATGACCAGAGAATGAATTTAGTTAATTTGCACATGGGCCAAAGTTAGGAGCAGAGGAATTTGGCGACTTTGGTTGTAAAGGTCCAGAGCCTGGGAGTGTGCTGGGAAAGAGAAGGGAAAATCCAGAGGCAGGGGGTCAGGGTGAGAAAGGCCTGATGTCTTCTCCACCAAGCTCTTCTATGTAGAGATGGGAGGGAAAAGCAAGGGGGATCCTGGAACATAGACGTACATGTAGAGATTTCACACAAAGAAAGTCTCCGGAGAGAGAGGAAGCCCTGGTGAGGCTTGTTTTTAGTCCCTGGTGATTTGGAAAGGAAGGGTTCCCAGAGCAACCCCCAGTGGCACAGAAGACTCCTTGTAGAGGCCACCTCATGGACATCAGAGTTTCTGAGAGGCAGGAGTTGGTCTCAAGGTCAAGGACCTTCCACACACACAATCCCTTCCTCCTCAGCTACAGTCAAGGGCAGAGGGAGAGTTCCCTGATAAAACTTGAAACCGTAAAGTTACATGGAGCAAACATTTTCAAGGATATCGCCCACACTGTCCGGGTTCAGAGTTCAGTCAGAGCACTCCCTGACGAGACGTTGAAATGGACAAGGCAAAGGTGGGGAGCTTAGATGCTGCTGGCGGTGGCAGGCTTCCTTCTGGAAGGGGCACCTGGCCTGGCCTTGGCAAGGTACCTCGCATAGGGACCTACCAGCACTGCCCAGTCAGTCACCCCACACCTCCATCCCTTGCCTGTCTCCTCCCTGCAGGCTGTGGGATGGAGAGCCCTGAGCTCACTGGGCAGCAAATGCACCTTAGCTCCCAGGAGCCCTTAAAGCAGAGTAGCATGCATGAAGGAGCAAAGCAAGATGCTGCAAAAATTAACCCTTGAGAAGAGTTTGATCTAAAAGTATGTTTTATGGTACTGATGTTTTCTCTGTGTGAACTATTCACTATCTCCCCCCACACACTGTGTGTCGCAGTTTTTAACTCTGATGACTACAGCAAGGAGAATTTCCAGTCTGGGATCTGGTTTGAAACTTGAGGTGGAAAAAAAAAGAAGTATTTTCATAAGCTAGTTATGGTATCTGCAGCGTTTCCTGGGTACAATGGAAGGATACAGACACATACACATAGTCCCCACTCAAGGCAAAAAAATCCCCTCCCCATCTAATGGGGCAGATGCCGTCCTTTGCCAGAGAAGTCACTGATCTCCCTGGGCAGGCAGAGAAAAGCACACAGGCTGCCTGCAAGAAAGGCAGTCCAGAGACTGACCACTGGCCCCTAACATGATGAGCCTCCTGGTCTTCAAGGTATGTATCATTCTCCTCATTTTGCAGATGACAGATTTTTAGAGACATGTCGCATGGGGAGTCAATAACTCACTCAGGGTCATACAACCAGAAAGAATAGAGCTGAAGTTTGAATCTTGTTCCCCTATACACATGGCCCCCCACAGGCAAAGCCCAGTAAAGAAAACCACTGGATGATGCAGGCAAAATACACAAAGCAACCCTTGGCTCAAATAGTATAAATACTATTATTCCCCGCTCCTGGTGAACAGAACGGAACACACCTGAATTCAAAAGCCAAGAATGTCCCATGTTCCATGTATTGTGTATGTCATTTGCTCACTATTCCTGTGCCCAATAGAGCATGGCATGACTCAGGGACAAGAGGAGGTTGATTATTATCTTAGCTACAAGACTGGCAATTGTGCCTCATCTCTGCCTTCGAGGCTTCCTAATCCGTCAGGATGAAGCCTTGGTAACATACAGTCAGATAAGTTACAGAAGAGAATGCCACTGGCAATTTCCAGTTAAGATTCACTTAACAGCCTGTTACAAATATAGCTGTGGTCGTTCTTTGTGGAACATGAATGCGTAGAAAGTTATCACCTAAATAAATACGTTCTTCGTCTGTGGCTGTTTTTATCTCACTGGATGTCTAGCCTTATCTCCCATGTACACAGTGACTGCAGAACATCTCACTATGCCTCAGGGAGCTTTATTATGAGAGTCAAATATTAGAACATGGCTTTACAGCCTGTTAAGTGCAAGGTTTATATAAGCCAACTATACCTGGGTAGTGGGAGACGAGGAAATCTCAACATAACCCCTCCCCCACAAATGCTGAGCAAATCTGGTTGATAAAAGCCACAGGCCTATAAAAAGAATCTCCCTGATTCTTACCCTTCATGGAAAATGCCAAAGATAAGTGTTTCTGGACACATACTGGAAGATGCCAAATACAGCCAAAGTGTTGCCAACTCAGGGTCCAGAAGATGAGCAGTTGCAACATAGAAAAGACCTTAGTACTGAGGACTCAGAGGACTCTCACGGTCACCAGGGGAATATTTCTAACCCTTGACCTTGTATTTGTGTGAGTACAAGAAAGCGCACAGAAAGCCAAAGGCGTGGGCTAATTGGATGTGAGCTTATTAGAAATTCTAAGCTGACAGCTATTTTTCTAATAGGAAAGATCAATAGCATTTTATTCCTCCACTAAAAACATTTTTTTTTCCCACCAGTACGTCCATTAGGTCAGGTGTTTTGTAAGTCAATTCAACAGGCTCATGAATAGCTGTCATTTTAACAATTAAAAGCTATGCAGCTGGGCATTGTAGTACACACTCGTGATCCCACCATTTGGGAAATGGAGGCCAGGTTGTGAGTTTGGAGTCAGCCTGGGCTACATGGTGAGAGCTTTTCTCACGACAACGAAAAGTTAAAAGCCATGCCTTTCTATCATCAGTCTGTTGGCATGCCTGTGGGTATATCCAATCACGTCTTCCAGGGCAGGTGTCTGCATTTCTCAGGATTTCTCAGGAGTCTAAGGATACCGTGTATTTAGTGTCTCTACATGGGTTTTATTTATTACATCAAACTGTCTTCAAATAGATTTGCAGGTGCACAGAGCCAATCACAATGGGAGGTTGAAAGGGGTATAAGGAATTTTCTATAGAACCTAATGAATATGTATAATGAAATTACTCAGGCCACTTCCAGTTAGGTCTCAGAATGTAAGAGAGACACGTATGTGAGGGATACGTTAGACTCAACATCATACAAATGTACAGTCGTCATTTAATTGATGGGGCTAGTGGTTAAGGACAGCTTTGAAGTCGAACAAACCTCAAATCAGAGCCCACCCCACCCATCATCCACTTGCTAGTTGTATGATCCTGGGCAGGACCTCTCCGGGCCTCTGCCTGCAAACTGAGGACAGTCACACTGACCCCCATAAGCCTGTGACACGGGTATGTGTTGTGATGCATGGAGACACTCAGCACTTAGGCACATGAGAGATTTAAAAATCTTATAAACTGTTAGTAACAGTAAATAGGGAGCAGCAGAATGCATAATTTAGTATTTATAAAACTATCCAATTCTACCATTGAGACAAACTCTGCAGACCATGTAGCCCATATAGTAAGAAGCTTAGGAATAGCAGTAAACATGGTCTGAGACTACCAAGTGAGCACCGCTGACATTGCCCCCTCCCTTGTTCATAGTAAGGTGACATTGGACTTGAGGGGAATGTGCTTTCCAATTCTTGAGCCCCTCTAACTGTGGTGCGGTGACTGAACTGGGCACAAGAGGGCCTTGCCCACGAGTGACTTCACATGTGCATATTTAGACAGCTCCCGGCTCTCTTGCCAATCTCTTCTCCCTCTACCATCTGGAATGTCTCCCACCTTCTCTGAGCTCAGGGCAGCTAGAATACATGCCATTCAGCCTCTGCTTCGCTGAAAGTCTGGCTGGGAGAGTTTCCAGCTGGATTTCTCATTTCTGTGTGGTAGGTGTGAGGGAGCCTTTGACTCCATGGGGCGAGCCCCAGACAAACCTGAAGTCAGACTCGGCTGACGCTGCACTTTTCTCTTCCCTAGGATCCACCGCCATTTAGACTATTTCACTCTTCCAGTGACTACTAGAAGAATGTCATTTTTCTTAGGGAAACAATAATCCATATATTGTTTCACATAGATGCCGTGTCTCCAATCTGCCCAGACTCACTAGCCCACTTAGTAATTCACTCCGTCAGACGGCCTTACAGTATGCCCAAAATAGCCCCTGACCATAGGAAAACTGCTGTCATGGAATCTGGCCATATACAAAACTCACAAACTTCAAGCCCATTACTGCCAAGTATCTACAGGGATGAGTCAACTTTTCTGTATTTCTCTCTCTCAATTAAATGTTACAGCTAGGCTTGGTAGGGAAGGAGACCCTGAAAGAGGTTACGAAGAGTCTAACAAGGGTACTGGATGGACACAAAGGAACAGGCCAGTAGGACCTGTCATTACCGCACCTCTGTTGATATTATTCCACTGCTCCTGTTATGTATGTGTCCAAGACGCTGGGAGGGCGCTGCAGGACTGGTCTGTGGGGGTCTCGTGAGTTAAAAGGAGCTGGATTTGAGTTCTGGCAACAAGTGGCCAGTCAGTGATCCTCATCTGGATCCTGGACCTGCTTGGACTCTTCTGAACCTTCAGACCAAGGGATGTCTTACCCAGCTCTGCTTTCCTCTCCGCTCTCTTCTGAACAAACGGTTATCTCTGTGCATTGGGTTACTAGGAGTAGGTTGCACTGATGATGTAACACTGTTTTCTATAAAGGGCGATGGGATCTCATGCAGATTTTTGCAAAGTCATATGCAAATCACAGAGCCCAGCCCTTTTCTTAACAGGATGGCAACCTTGTTCCTCGGTGGCACCTGGGACCTGGAGATCCTTTCTCCACTTACGTTTAGCGCGCAGCCTGGGACTTGTCCCTGCAGCTCACCGGGTTAGCCGTGGCGCCGTTGGGATCTCCCACCAGGACTCCAGTCACCCAACTCTCTTGAGACTGCTCTGACAGGGCTGGTATGGGGTGCAGCCTTTGCTCAGAGGGCAACATGGTCCAAGCAAAATCTGCCCGCCTGGGCCATGGGCTCACCCCGGGCCTCCCTGCTTCTCTCCTGGGTGCAATTATGAGGTTGCCAAGCTTCGATCCAAAGTCCAAAATGGTGGGGCAGCAGGGACTTCAAGAGGCCCCAGGGCCCCATGTGCTTCCCCCAGCTCCCGACCTGAACCCCCGGGGATCCCCCTCCATCCGACCCTCACTGCCCAAAACGTCTGCAACTCCAATTGACAGGGTAGCGAGAGGGGTACATTCGGCTTTGAGTTCCTCTTCAGGTTAACATTTCTGTGAACAGTGCCCCCCCTCTTTAGTCTGGAAAAGGCCATCTTTCTACTGTAACTTATCTCCTCTACATCATGAGAATGAGGTGGGGGCTTGAGATACAGATGGTGAGGGTCAAATCCAGCCTTTCCCAAACACTGGCAGCAGCCACCTCCCTCCACACATTCTGTTTGATACAGCGTCCTCTCCACCCCTGTCTGAGGTCTCTGGGGGAAGACCACCCTTCCGGTCCCATTTACCTCGAGTGATCCTGTTGGGTGGGGTGGGAAACATGAAAGGCCTAAGGGAAGCCAACTGATCACTTGTTGATAACTGTTGACACTAGGTGATAGGTACATGGTCTTCATTATACTATTCTCTCTTTTGTATATGTTTGCAGTTTTTCATAATAAATTTTTTTAACGTCCTCCATAACATTCTAGAAAGAACCCTCACAAAATTTCATGGACACCCCCACCCCACCCCCACCAAGGCAAGAGGCAGGGATGATTCCATTTCATATAAATATATATAAATGTATATATATATAAAAAAACACTCATTTTCTAACCTTTTTTAAAGGCCCACTGCTTTATTTTCAATAGACTAAACCTTATTTCTAAGAGGTCCCGAAGTTGGGCTCACTTCCCAGGCTGGGTGATGGGGGAGGGCAGGGGAGAGGGTCCTTCAAAGTTTACACTTCCATGTATCTCACACTCTTGCTGTGAGAAAGTGACTTGTTCAGTGTTCTGAACTTTGCCAAGGGTATGTGCTCGCAATGCAAAGTGTCATTCTCTGGAATCGCACCTGGCTCAGGAAAGGATTGTCTTTGTACTTGAACTTAAATCCAATGGAGAACCTTAACATGGGCATTTGCATGACTGGGAACTGCTGCTGTCTTTTTTTTCCATATGTCTCTTTCTTGGATGTGTTCTAATAAAATGATTCTAAAGCTGTTGATATATAGTGATTTATAAATAATTTCTGTTGAGCTCGGAGGCCCTTAGATTCGCTGCCTTCCCACTTTCTGGAAAGACCTGTCACACTGAGGACAGATGCCTAGAGTGTGTCTGTCTCTATGGCATGAAGGGGGCACCATTGACATTGCAGTCGTTAATCAGGATCATAGCAACCACAGCCATTTGAATTTTTCTGGTTTCCTAGCAACAGAACTTGTTTTCCAGAACGAAGATGACCATCCGTAGATGAGAGTAGTGGGGGAAAGGCAGAAGGGGTGGGGCTGAGTCAGGAGTACAATTCACTCTACCAGGGAGGAGGGGCTGGGGGGGAGAGAAAAGTGGAGGGAAAGAGAGGCAAAGGTAGCCCAAAGCAGGCAGGCCAAGTTTAGACTTGATCCATGCAGTCACAGGTCTCAGCACCTTCAGGGAAGAATAATCAACTGTTCGTATTTTTTTTTTTTTCAAATTTTGATAGCAAGCCATAGCACATTGCAAGACTCATTGGGGAAGCATACATTCCCAGAAGTAGATATTTTTAGAAATGTTCCCTTCAGCCAAGACTGGTGAGGGCATTCCCATGAACTAGTCACAGCCTTAGGATCTAGTCCTTGGTGAGCGGGGCATCCTTAGAAACCTCATTGGTTAACATGTGTGTACAGGGGCTGCAGAGGCAGAATCAGACAAGGAGGCTTCCATTTCTTGAGTGCTCTTCTCATGGCGGACACCAAGAAACTATTGAGTCTATTCCTGTGCTTTTCACAGCCAGAGAGGCCAGCAGTGCTGTGTCTATTTCCCTAATGGTCAGGCTGAAGCTGCAAAGGAATACTCGAACACTGGAAATAGCAGATTTGTGATCGTGTGGTCTGTCACTGCCGTATCCATGCTTTTCCAAGCCACAGGGTTGATAGCCAGGTGGCTGGCCTGAGCTTTGCACGACATAGCCACCTCCTCCACTGTCTGCATAAGTGGCCAGTGCAGACCAGCATTCTGTTCTTCCCTGTGACTGGATAGCTCTTTAGGCCGGGGTCTCTACACCACACATCTGCTTACCTGTGGCTTAGTTACTTGTAGACACAGGCCAATGAAGCAGAAATCATCAGTTGGTTCTCGTAGGGATTTGTTTACACACCACATAGTTAAGAAATGCCTCCAGCCGCTTACAGGGTATTAAAACGTAGGTGAGCCAATGGACCCTGTTCTCATGGAACTTGCCAGTTCAGGAACCAGGCATCAGACAACACATGAATGGATGTATAACAACTGCAAGAAGACGTGAGGTCAGTAAGATCAACCCAAGACCAGACAGTGCTGCTTGCCCAAGGACATTTGACAACTTTGGGGCAGAATAAAAACTAGAGTTTGGAGCCCCCGAGTTTTCTTTTTAAAGTACCTTTTCCCTACTATATCCTACAATTATTATTCATAGCCGTAGACTACCCCTAGCCCCAGCCAGCTATATGAACATGTCAGTCACTTAAGACACTGCCCCTTAACTAGCAAAACTGAAAGGATACATTTGGAAGTGATGAAGTAAGTTCCTGAGGATGGCACTGACCAGGGCCTTGTTTACAGACTTATCCCAGAGCCCAAAAGAGGAACTGAAAGGCAAAGCTCCATGCTGTAGTGACACGATCAGATAAGGGGGTACACAGCTGCTGCAGGGTTTGGGTCTGACACCAGTGTTTTTCTGACTTCCAGAGCAAGGAGCCACTCATTCAACAAATATTTACTGAGTGCATACTAGGTGCTAGGCATGGCTCTCAGTGCTAAGAACATGAGTGATGGAGATCAGGCATGTTCAGGGTGGTACGGCCAAATGCAGGACATGGGAGAATAAAATACATCACCCTCAGGAAGAGACCAGCAAAAACACAAAGAATTAACTCAGCATATTAGAAAGCAATAACTGTTGCAAAGGAAATAAATCAAGGCAGGAAAGCAGAATGTGACAGAGGTAGGGATGCATTTTTCAGTAGAGTGGTTGTTTTCCAACCACTGAGAAATTGATGTACAGGTCAGCGAGTTACACATAGATACACATAGATACACATAGATACATATAGATACACATAGATACATATACATATATAGACATATATAATCTGTATGCAATACATATGAATGGGCATAAGTGTCTGTCCTTTTTCATTGTAGCGGAGAAGTACCTTTAACACAGCTTAACATGTCACTTTGTGTCCAGCTCCAAATAGCTAGTTGTATAGTGTGATTGGAAAAGGCCCTGAGCCATTTTCTCTGGCACATCCAAATGCTCAAATCCTAGTTTCCCTTTTCTCCTTTGGGCTAAAGCAGTGGTTCTCAAACATGTACGTATCAGAGTTACCTCAAAGGCTTGTTGAAACACAGATCCTAGGTCCTGCTCTCAGAATTATGTGATTCGGGCCATCTCTAGAGTAGACACATGAATCTGCATTTCTACCAAAATCCAGGTAATTCTGCTGCTGTTGGTTCAGGGATCACACTCTGAGGTCTACCAAGTGTTACAGTTAGGAAAACTGCCTATTAAAATAATCAGCTCAGCCAGGCGGTGGTGGCGCACGCCTTTAATCCCAGCACTCGGAAGGCAGAGGCAGGCGGATCTCTGTGAGTTCGAGCCCAGCCTAGGGTACAGAGTAAGTTCCAGGAAAAGGCACAAAGCTACACAGAGAAACCCTGTCTCAAAAAACCAAATAAATAAATAAATAAATAAATAAAAATAATTGGCTCCATAAGAAGAGATATACCTGTTCCTTGGGTTTCCTAGACGTTATCAGAGTAGCTGCCCTTGAAAAGTAAAATCCTTAAGACATGGAACTTTTTCTTTAGTGGAATATATGTCAGAACCAAAGTCCAAGATCCCAAGCTTAAGGAGGTAAAACAAGGAACGCATCCCAAACAGGAGGTGATAATGCTATTTTGTCATTTTCCTATTGACACTTAGTATTTTATAGCTGTAATATGTCTGCAAGCCCTTCTGCCCCCTGGCCAGTCAACCCAGTACACTTTACAGATAATGGAACTGGTACACAAAGAGGTATATAGCACCCCCCCCACACACACACACACACTATAAAAAACGTCAGCTGCCTTGCAGGTCCAACGTTGCTCCTCCCTGACTGTCTTCATTTCATTAGCTAAAGCACTGTCCTGGAATGTCCATCCTGGGAAGTTGTTATCCAGGACATATAATTGTTCTTTGCTCTTGATTTGTTAAAAATCTCCACTCAGTGCAAGAAGGTTATCCACGTGCGGGTTTAACTGTGGCAAGGGCCGAGCCTTGTGTGAGTTCTTTGTACCATCAACTCTTCCACTACCAGGTATTATACAGAAGAAATGCTAACTCATTTTATTAATAGCCTGAGCTAGAACTAATCACCACAAAAACAGATAAACCTGCTGGGGAAAGCACACGTAACACTTTCTGAAGAAAAATAGAAATGACATTCTGATCTCATGTGCCCTTGCTTCCATTCCATTAATAGATATAATTGAACATTTTCTGTATCACTAACATAGACAACAAAATGAGTGCATTTCAACTGGACAGCTCATATATCACATTCTTGGATACTCAAATTGGGCCCCACACAAAAGGAAGTGAGGGATAAAAATCTCCCTTCCTAGTACTTGCTCCAACACTCTGGTACCAATTCCTCAAGAGGGGAGAGTGGATTCCACATTGAACCTCGTGGGTGGTGGCCCTCTCTGTGGATTTTAGAGTTTTGATTTCAATTTTCCCTCCTCTGTCTCCCAAATGTGCTGATATTATGACATCTTCTTCCTATCCATTGCTACTGGGACCCTCATTTATAAAATAAACATTTAATAAGCCTCAGATCCTGTAAAGGCTACTGAACAGACTACAGAACTGAATTAGAAATAACCCCATCCTCAGAGAACATAACACATAGTAGAACCACTCTAAACCCTCTGAATAATCAACATTCAAGAGTAGTTATAAGTCCATACCCGGGACCTTAGTCCATGAGAACCTCTCCCCGTTTTCATTCTTTTTATTCAGCCTATGCCCTTAAAAATCAAACTGTTGACCTAGTTCAGCTTCGGCATAAAAGAGACATCATTAGGAAATATACTATACCTGAGAGAGTGGTGAGCCAGGGAAGAAACACTAGCCTGCAGCTCTGGGAATGTGCAATGATGGCTATGTGTCGGCGGCCCAAAAGCATCGTATGTAGAGAGCAGTCTGGGATCTAGCATCTTCTGTGTATACTCCACGCGTGAACTCTGGAGATGGAATACATATGGGTCTTACATAATGCTTGGAGAATCAGGCGGGGGAAAAAGATCCAGTGTGATTGTGTGTTTGGTGAGTTTGACTCCAAAGCATACTAAGAAAACAACTATTTCTCACAAAAGAAAGAAAGAATCATGCCAATCAGTAATACAGGGAACGAACAGATAATGGGTTGGGTTGTGGAAGACAGTGGGATGTGTAGGATTCACCTAGCTCTGTTGTTTCAGATTCCGTGAAAGGAGATTCAGACCATGATCCTACAAGGTTGTAGGGTTAATGTGCTCATGTGTATTGCACACACCATGTATTCACAAATATATAGAGATGAGACAAGCCTTGTAGATCAGGAATAGGCTTTTATGATGATGTAAATCCTTCAAATACAATTTAAATTTACAATCTAGAAAGAAAGACAAGTTGAGGTAACAAAAGTTATAATCAGAAGTGAAAGGTGAATTTGTAGTTCTGGTGATCCACGAACCCATCTGCCTTCCATCTCTACTGGGCCAGGAAAGTGGTACTGGCTGATGCCAAGGCTTGATCACCACTCTTTCCTGTCTGCATCTTGTCACTACTAGAATTCCAAGTCAAGATTTTGGAGTAAGCCTATCATATCTGTTATTTGAAATCTATTTCTTCTAACTCTGCAAACCAATCCAAGTCCTGGAGGGAGTTTTTCCTTCATCCAGGCTTACTAATGACCATCAAGTGTGCCGTTGACATGATAATATAGCTGTGCCTACCGTGGTGGATCTCATCATGGATAGTGGGAGCTGTTCAGAGAGACTCTGAAGACTTGGAAATAGCAGTGATGGAAGTTTCTGTGTATCTGCCTTTGAGTTTCCAGGGTGGCAAAATAAGGAGTGTTATTATTCTAATTTGTAAGAATATCCAGGGATTCTGTTGCCTGTCAGTGGTAACCATTCACGGGTTCCCATACCTGTGTGCAATGTCAAGTTTGTAGGCATGGCTCTACTGGCTGTTGCTAAGTGGTAGTTAGGGCTTGCATTCAAGTGAAGGAATATCCCAAGGTAGATAGGGATTAAAATGTAGTTGACAGAAAAATAATGTATGTATTCTTAGCATGACAAACACTTTGAGAGTAGTCTATCACTATGGTATCCCATGTGCTGTTTTGGGCTCTCACAGTTTCATGAGGACTTATGTAAACATCTTGGCCTCAAGGGGAGCAAGGTGGTGGTAAGACTAGTTTCTAAGGTTGAGTTTGTCCAGGGCCAGCTGGAAGCTTGGAATGAAAGTAGGAGGCTCTACACTGCTCACACTTCCTGTGTTTTTGTTTGGGATTGAAGATTCTAACATGTTGCTTCATATTTTAGTTTTTCTGAAACCACCTAGCCAAACACTTGTTGAAAAGCTATAGATTACAATCCTTAAATCCAGGTCATCACAGGTCATCTACGTGCTCTCTACCTACCCTGCAATGCTACACAGACAAGCTTAGTAATAGAACATGCCATTAAAGAGGGAGCCTTTGCAATGTCTGATAGGTTGGTTGCTGTTGCAGAATAAAAATGATGATATTACAGCTTGACAGCACAGTAAAAGGCTTCAGTGTAGAGCCAGACATGAGTACAGCCTTCCAGGAGAGGACATATTGCCATCAATCCAGCATTTCTGGCTTCTGAGGAGCTGGGTGAGTCAGAAATTAAGTTGAGATAGTAAAAAAGACCAGTGGGTCTACTGAGTCTGCTAACTTAGTTATGTGACCATCATCACAGCCACTTTCCTATATACCAAGACCTCCAAAATATCTGAATGGCTGCCTTCTTCTGGATTACATGTTTTATTAAAGTATGCACTAGGTGCAGAGAGTTGAGATAGGATAATGGCATCAGACACAGTCTCTTTGGTAAACATTGATATGGAAGAGTGTCAAGGGTTTTTCCCGGAGTGATATCATGAGACAGATTCTGGGCAGTCTATCAAGAGACTGTGAGTATAGCCAATCCAGCCCCCAGGAGTCAATGAGACAGTCATCGTCTATAAGAGAATGGCTTATAATTAGTGGCTCTCACAAAGAACTGGCCATCTCTATCATGTTCACTCACTCATCCAACATATATTTCTTAAATACCTACTGTGTGCCATGTGCTATTCTAGACAGCAAAACCAAACCCACCCTCCCCAATGAAAAACAGCTAAGAATTCCTGCCCTGGGTCTTATATTCTGGTGGAAATACATATAGGTGAAATATGTAAGATGCCAGGTGATAGATAGCACATACTGTGGGGTAGGAAGTAGTGTAGAAGGGAGTGAAGGGATGATCTGAGTTCTGGCGACCAACACAGTTAGGGATACACAGATAATACAATTAGTCCAAACAGCCTCCAGGTGGATAGCGGCAATGAGGATGTATTTCAGGAGAGGGTGGGATAAGGACTTCCTAGAAACACATACAAGGTTTTAGAAAGCTCTGTTCGTTCCTGATACCCAGAAGAATGAAGACTTGGAGAGGGACAATCTTGTCTAGAAGGAGAGAGTGAGTGGAACCCAGTAGTGGGCATTTGATTGGCGTGCATGAGACCCTGGGTCCATCCTCAGCACTGCAAGCAGGCATTCACAAACAAGCACTTCCTCAGCCTTCATGTCCCTACTGGAGCCAAGTACCCTAGAGGCCATGTGAGAACCTTATACTACCCTCCTGGCACTTCCAGCAGCACCCAAGGGGAGCCCTTCCCATATGACCCTGGCCCTAGGTCACAGGAATCTGATTCACTCCAAGTGAATAAGAACCTTACCTATAGGAGGCTACATCCCTATGGACCACATGACTGGCAAGACTGTTGAGTACATCAAGATTTTGTCTAAGTCATGTGATTCTGGGAACTCAGAACTTGTGGAATATACTGTTCGTATGTCTGGTGTTTCAAAGGGGCCTTGCAAACTCTGAGAGATGTGGTAAAATATTTGTTTTGTCCTCAGTGAGTTTAAAATATTAGTTTCCGTTGGTTGTGTCCTTCAACTCCCAGCCGGCTTTGGGGTCCCATCTGGCTAGATTGGTATATGTTTGGAAGCAGCAGAAAGTGGTTGTCAGCTGGGCCTGTCACCAAGACAAAGACAAAGTCCATTTTGCCTGATCACACACAGAACAGAGCCTCGGGAGACCCGAGGAAGAGGTATAGGGATTCAAGATAGGGTCTTGGGATCCTAATGGAATCCTGTTGTTTGGACCGAACCAAACAGCAGATAACTCAGCATAGAGCTGAGTTCTCAATTGCAGGAGGGTGGCTCACTCATCATTGGCATATCAATATTCATTCCCCACCTCTTCTCCCACGACCCCACTTAGGACTTGTTTAACATAACACAATGGGATGATGTGGTATGGATCTGGCTTTCTCCTCAGTACTCTATCAGTTTGTCTCCAGAGACAAGCCTTTGAGGTTGAGGCCAATGAGAAGGGAACTCAGGGTGCCAGCACACACTCGCCCCCATTTATTGTATAAAAGGGCCCAGCTAAAAATTATAAGCCTTACAGCTTGAGAAACGTATTGCAAGACTAAGATTGTCTACCACAACTGTGTATGACATTGGTCAGCTCCTCTGGACAAGGACTACATGGGACAAGTGCATCCCAGTTCAGGGCCTGATACAGGAGCCAAGTGGTTAATGGCAAAAAAAACTTCCCTGTTGTTGTGGGAAACTGAGTGTGACATGTGATTCTTTTCTATTTTCTTTGGCCAATATATATGTGCTTAGTGGGGGTGTTCTAACTATACCTGTTATGTGTCAGCCATTTTTTAGCTTGTTCTGATAAAAATTCAATTTTGAGCATGACTGAGACCTCATTTATGAATGCAAAATCATTTTGAACTTGTGTTAGCTGGATAAAGAGACGGGTTTAGCCTGATAGACTCCATGCTAAGTCATGCTCGTAATTGGATTGTGGACTACTACACTGTGAGTACCTTAAGGACAGGGATTCAGGTCTGCTATATGTTTTTTTTTAAATTAATTTTGTTATTTGGCAACTTTCATTCTTTGTTGACTTCATACATCTATACAATGTATCTTTGTCTAATTTCCCTCCCCGTTTTAATCACTATCTACAGAGCCTGCTCTAGTGTCAGGTACATTATAGGTACTTTAAGCCAGTTGAGTAATGTGGAAAGTGAGTGCAGTGTCCTCGGCGTGTAAAAATGCAGAGAATGATATTCTCCACTTGTAGTGCAAGCAGCCCAGGGGCTAAGCACTGTGGAGCAGGAAGGAGCTCCGTAGAACGATGCCGTAGCGGGCAAAAATCAATAGCATACTCCTTGAATTCCAGATGACGTCATAGGTAGCCAGGTCTAAGACATAAGCTGGTGGGTAAAGCTCAATCCAGGATCAAGAGCCAGGACAGAGAAGCAGGGAAAACTTAACAAGGCATCTCCAATCAAAGGAGCAGAGCACTCCATCCAGAGCAGTGAGTGAACTGGGATCCTAGGTGCACAACCAGATGTGGGGAGGGAGGAAGCTGAAGTGTGATTCGGCCAGCGGCAATTCTGAGAACTCCGCTAAATGCGGACTCCTCCCAGACTGCCTTTTTTCTGCTCTCCACCCCTGAGTTTTTAAATGTCGCAGTTGACTTCTGGGTTTGGTGGATCGTTTCTAATTAAGAATGGCAACTAGAAAGGTTGGCAAAGGAAAAGCACCAGGGGCCTGAAGCAGTGAACGAGAAAATAAACCTAACAGAGTACATGTCCCCCCGAATGAAACAAGTGTTCAAAGAAGTCAGATTGGAAAATGTGTCTCATCTGGTTTCCTTCACTGTGTTGGCTGCCAGTGAGAAGGACTGTAACAGAGTGTGCTGACTGCAAATGTACTTCTCTCTGCCCCACACCACTCCTGTCCTTGTGATTCCCAGAAAACATTCCAGAACCTTCGGGAAATGAAAATGTGAGACTAGACCCATCCTCTGGGAGTCAGCCCAAGAGATCGTCAACAGCGACTCCTAAGGCAACTCCCTAATAGCGGATGGAGCTGCCCTTCAGCTTGGTTGTATCATGCATTAGGACCTTTCCAGCAGTACACAAAAGAGATATAAAATATCCCTAGCTAGAAGAATTATGGTTTGTTTGGGAGAGGAAATATATAAATATTCATAGGACAAAATTCACACCATGTAGGTTAGAAATAGTTCTTACATCAGCCTAAGAGGTTTAAGAAATGGAATGTTCTCTCTTCCCTCAGTGTCTACCCAGCATCAAAAATGAATCACTGTGTAATGGCAGGAATCCTCGGGTTGTTAAAAAAAATTAGTAATAACCACTGAGTAGGTATACTAAAAAATAACATCTATTAAGTCTGCCAAAATAGCATTTTTCTTTGTGCTCTCAATATGGCCCCATTTCACCTGTCTCTTAACATTATTCTCAGTGTGCCTCAATTCCTACCAATGCTCATCCCAAGACAATTCCATCCAGAAAAGAGAGAAAGAGTAGATGGATCTGTGAGCATGAGTCAAGTTATGCTGTAGTAACAAACAACCCTTAACATTTTTTTAATGACTTAAAACAAGATTGTGAGTTTTGTGAACACTGTATGTCCATGTAAACAGGGAAGGCTCTATTTATTACCCATTCTGCTGATGGATCAACTTATAAAGTTACTAATTACCATCCCAGACAGAAAGAAGATTCTCAAAGGTTCTTGTGCCCACGATTGAATGTTTCAGGGGGAAATGCTTCAACATTAATAACCAGAATTAACTCAATGTCCTTGCTGAACTATCAGGAAGGCAGGAAAAATAACGAAGTAGTATGTAGAAGTCAGAAAACTGCAGTATTTTATAAACATCAGAAGAGCCACCTTACCAGTTCAAATAAATCCTATTTACAGGTAATATTTATTTTGGCTCCAGCTCAGCATGTACATTCTGGCTGTGACTAAAATGGGTATTTAAATTTTGTCTGTACTCAACAAATGTTTCTGTGCATGTGCATTTCAAATATATTCGTTGGGATGCCATTATTCATGTTTCTCTCATTATCTTCTGTTCCTTGTCTTGCTTTCATTTCTACTAAGCTGTGCCCATGAATATTAGCTTCTATATATAGTGGATCAGTGTAGTTTTCAGTGTCTATATAGAGTGTAAAAATGAAAAGTCTTCTCGTTCACATCAAAACTCTTTCCAGATTTAGGGAACCAATTTCTGGAGTATACTGTCCTGATGAGCCCTCTCCGTAAGAGCTAAATGTGTTATATCACCCATTTTATAACTTGTAGAGTGTTCTGTTGGTGTGAGAGCCCACACAGGGTGTGCTACATTTCAAAGGATGCTTTCCTCTGTATAAGAACATGACTAAGTGTTGAGCTATTCCCAATATGAGCCATGCTGTATCATTCTATGACCTTGTCCTAGAAATCACATGAGTACTCCACTATCAATTAAATCTGGGGTCACTGGGAAACCAAGGCAGATTCTAGTGGGAAACACATTCAAATTAACCCGCAAATACAAACAGACAGTGGTTCATTGAGAACACTGTGTCAGAATTGACTCTGGATTGACAAAGAGGTTAGCATTAACAGATGGATATAAAAACATAGTTCTTCATTATATTCCATACATTCAAAAATCTGGATAGAAACATTAAAAATGGTGAATGTTGGACTTCTAGAGGGAGGATCTTCAATATCTGGTGTGGGGTTGCTGCATCAACTTATTTGTTCGTAACTGCCATTGACCAACTGTATGAGCTTTGGGAACTGCTTTAGCTGAACCATCAATCTTCTCAAAATCTAGTTCCTTGCCTATAAGAATGGAAAAAAATAGGAACTGGTCTCTGAATTCCCTTTGTGCTGAAACATTGGGTTTTTCTGCTGGCTTAGTAGTGATTCATAGACCCATCACCTTTTGCAGGGAAATTATAATAAATATATGTCCTAACTAATGTAAAATTGTGAAAATCATATTTATATATAAAAAGATAACCTGCCTACACTATAACTGATGAGAGATACATAGGAAGCATAAAAGAGTCTATTTTAGAGGTTGCTTAGCAATAAAGTGAGGTTATCAGAAATTAACTGAATATGTGCTCCATTCTCTCTGTTATTTATCCACTCATTATAAAACCTGTTGAGTATCTACCATGTACTCAACTGGGTGAAATTGGCAGACTTGGGAAGGGAACTGGGGACATCACTAAATGCACTACCATACGACATCTTTGATACACAGGAAGGAAAGTGAAAAAGAGAGACCGACAGGCAGAGAAAGTAGGCTGCTTCCTCAACTGGCAGCCCCAGGAGGTGAAGAAATGTCACGGCACAGATTGAGTGTCTTTAATGCAAACACTAGGGACCAGAAGCTAGGAGGAATTTTTTGGATTTTGGAATATGGGTCCACGCTTTACTAGTTGGCCATCCATAATCCAAAGTCAATTCAAAATCCAAAGCTCTCTGAGCATCATGATTCTCAGATGAGAGACGCACAGCCTGTATGAGTCACAGGGTAAGCCAGTTGGAGTAAGGAAGCTGTGGTCTGGAAGGAAGAAGATGTGAGACTTCTAATTCTGACCAAGATAGAGAAGCAAAGACCAGATTTCTTTTCCTTCCTGAAACAATTTTTTAATAGTCAAAAGATACGAAATGATGTTCAAGACAATGGACATCAGGCATCATCAGCAAGATGCCTGAGAGGTAGGAAGCTAGGCCAAGAGAGTCCTGTAAAAGTCAAAACCCAGCTTGCTGCTTTGAGTTCCTGGGCTTGGGGACGGGGGGACGGGGGAAGAAGGGGCGTAACCCCTGTCCCCACCTAGACCAAAAACCCCATATTGATGGGGCATCAGTCAGAGTGTATAAGCTATCTCAGTGGGGAGCAGCAAGCTCAGGGCTAAACATGGCTCTAGTTCTGTCTACAAGTCTTATAGACAAAACTGCATCACAGGACAAAACTCAAGAATAGTAGTCCTGTGGGGGAGCCAGGTGTGGTGGCACACACCTTTAATCCCAACTCTCTGAGTTTGAGGCCAGCCTAGTCTACAAAAAGAGTTCCAGGCCAGCCAGAGCTACACAGAGAAACTCTGTCTAGGAAAACAAACAAACAAAACAAGCAAGCAAACAGACAACAAAAAAAAAATAGTCATGAGAATATAAAAGTATTGGTAAAATAAGGCAAAATCCGCAATATCTAGCATCTAATCAATAATTATCAGGCCTGCAAAGAAGCAGGGAAATGTGTTCTGTAATGAGGAGGGCAATAATCAGTTAACACTAACTGTGAATTGACAAAGAAATTAAAATTAGCAGACAATGATATAAAAACAGACATGGATATGGACATATACATATATATATATATATATATGAAACATGTAAAAAGTGTAGAGTTATTGGTCATATTTATGCATTCAAAAAGCTGGGTAGAAATCCGGAAGAGATGAAAATGGCACATGTTGGACTTCTACATGTAGGAAGTACAATATCCGAGCTAGGAGGAAAATATGCCTGACTAAGGAAGGGTAAGTTAAGCTAGCAAAAGAAAGAACAGTAATAGAAGCTTTTTTGTGTGTGTGTGTGCATGAGTGTGTGTTTATACATGTGTGGTGCATGCATTTGTGCGTGCATAAATGTGTGCGCATGCACATGTGTGTGTATACATGTGGGGTGTGTGTGTGTGTGTGTGTGTGTGTGTGTGTGTGTGTGTGTGTGTGTGTGTTTTCTTCACCACAGAGGCTAGGAGAGATGGAATAAGACTGTCAGTGTGCTAGCAGAAAACCTTTATGACTTAGAATTCTATACCAAGTTAAACTATAACTAAAAATGAAGTTGAAATAAAGATATTTCCAGGCATAAAAGAACCTAGAAATTGTATTACTTGTAAGTCCTTGCTTTTAATTTTAAAAAGTAAATTAAATATGAAAAGGAAGAAGTAGGTACAAGATATACTGGTACAACCAACGCTAACATACTCTATCAATAGTAAATACTTAGTACAACAATGAGGGATGATACACACTTGAAATGGGGGGAACAGCTTTTTTTTAAAAAAAGGGAGAGCTTTGAAGGGAAACAGAACAAGCTGAGGTCCTCGTCTGACTCACACACACACACACCATACCAAAAAAAAACTTTTTAAAAAGGTTTGTTAAAGTCATTCAACGAGTTTTGGCAACAGGGTAGAGGTAGCAACTGCTGGCCTCACCCCTGTAATCCCAGCACTGAGGAAATGGGAAGCCTAAGCCTAAACTGCAAACAGGATCTCTCTCTTTTTTTTTTAAAAAAAAAAAAAAAAAAAAAAAAAAGGTAGGAATTAACTTAGATTTTTGTAACAAAAGTATGTATTTTTATGTTGGGAAAATATAAATATATAATTTCAATACTAGCAGAAGAAAGTAAGAAAAATAACAAACAGAAAACAACAGGATCCTAAGTGTATTATGAATCACAATATACTTAAGTAGATCCAAGACACTAATTGAAATATAAATATTTTAAGTGCTATTTTTTGCTCAGAATTTAGATGTATGTTGTATAAAAGAGACGTAAATCTTAAGCAATGTTGTGAAAAATAAGATCTACCAAGCAAGTATTAACCAAAAGGAAGCAGGTATAGAAATTTGGGTGTTAGATAGAAACTGCAATGAATGATGGCCTGGAGAGATGGCTCATGGGTAAATGTGCCTTCTGTCACACTTGACAGCTGGCGCTCAGTCCTTAAAAAGGGAACTGACTCTCAAGAGCTGTCATCTCCCCTCCACGTGTGTGCTATGGCACACACACACACACACACACACACACACACACACACACACACCATATCAAAAAAAAAACTTTTTAAAAAGGTTTGTTAAAGTCATTCAACGAGTTTTGGCAAGGGCAGGGAGGGTGAAGGAACAGGCCACCAAACCTGACACTGTGAGCTGGATTCCTGGGAGTGGGAGAAGAAAACAGATCCACTAAGTCGTCTTCTGAGTCCCCGCACATGCACGCTGTGGCACAGGCTGTACCACACCCAGCCCGGGTGTTTTCCATCTAGGTCTCAATTGGGCTTGTTTTCTCCACCAGTCAAAGATTTAGAAGTTAAAGCTCTCAAGGCCATCGGGTAGGAGTGGAGGAGGGTTGGACCTCAGACACAGCAAACTGCAGCGAAGAGCATCACCAGCCAATAAAGAAAGGCTTTTTATTAGGAGTGAGGAAACACACACAGAGAAAAACCCGAGCCCTGTCTCTCATTAAGAGCTGGGGCCTTCAAGTGTGTGGGGGAGGGGGGTCTTCCTCCCCCAAATTAGGGTTGGTTCCTCTGAGGAAAGACAGGGAAGCTACTGTATACTTGGGGTCTGGCCTTGAACTGAGACCCGTCAACGGGCAGGGGAGCCCTGCTGGCGAGAGAAGGGGTCCACCAAGCCTTTGGTTTAAGTGGCCAGCCCCTTGTCTCAGGTCAGGAGGATGAAGAAGCCGGCCATCTTGGAAGTTCACCGTCTTTGTGACCTGGTCACGGCCCCTTTCCCTGTCTGTCTGCCTACCAGGGAGTCTGTCTAATTCCTGGTCTCTTGGCATAAATAAATAAATAAATAAATAAATAAATAAATAAATAAATAAATAAATAAATAAATAAATAAATGAATGAATGAATGAATGAATGTAATTTTTTAATTTTGAAAATATAGTTAGTGATCCCATTCTTTACATTTTTGCTATATATGCTCCAGCAGAGCTAATGGGAATGCTACCATGCCAACACTATTTAAAAAAACAACAGAATAACACAAAAGGAATTGAATGTGGTGGCATGTGCCTATAATCCCAAAGTGGAGGAAACTGAGGCAGAAAGATTACACATTCCAGCCTAGCCTGGGCTT